GGATTGACAGTTAACATGTTGGTCATTGTCTCCGCAATTTTTACATTTTATGATGTTACATGAATTTTTACCATGACCATAACTAAAACAGTTTTGACATTGACGTACAAGCACCTTATCCTTCATATATGTGACCTGTATGTCTGTATATATACGTTGTAATTTCTTCATAATTTGGTATGTTGCCGGGGAAATGCGGAGAACAACATCCTGTACATCAGTATTTGATCTCATAGCGAACAGAACCTTTATCTTCTTCTCTCGACCTTCTAACTCTGGGTTCATATTGCATAAAATCGAAGGCAATTCCTTAATATCTGTAGATTTAGTAATTGACTTAAGAACAATTGTAGGATCTAGTGGTTTTGGTGCATAAATTAATGCTTTTTGATTTACCTCATATATTTACCTCAAATATTTTGTGTATACATGCTCTCTTGTATTGGACAGACATTCTCAAAATCACTCGATCAGATCCCTCAAGAGAATTGCCTCCAATCGAAGCCATCTTTTAAAATATTTCTGCCTAAGATTCATCATGGAAAAGCCATTATTTCCATTTTCACAGGCCATGGCAATGTCCAAGCTGACCTTGTGATTGGGTACCCTGAAAATGATACATTTTGCTCTCACTGCTAGGAAAAACTACAGTGGATCACCTCCTTTTCAACTTCCAGCTTTTCTGAAGAATAGGATGCTAACAGTGCTTAGAATTGCAAAGCTTTATGTTGTACTAGATAGCTGGTCAGCTCAGGTAGTTGTTCTACATACCAGGAACCAATTATTTATATCTTTTTCACTGGTTAACAAAATTAATTGATATTTAAACACAAGTAAATAAGACCAAATCCAAATAAATAAATAGTGTGACATTTCAGTAACAGTGTTGTTACCATCTTCAGACAAAAGTACTGAATCATACTGAATTCAGTATGATTCACTGTTACCGAAACGTCACACACTATTTATTTATATTTGGTCTTATTACCTTGTGTTTATAATCTATAATCCAAATTGTGCCTTATCAATTTAAATGATATTTGTTATCGAGACTTGCTGAGGTTATTAATAAATTATATTTGAACCAAAAGCCTGGAGATTTTCTAGAATGTGGGATAAACCGACAAGCAACAAACTATATCTCCAGGCTCAAAACTGGCCATACAAGACCACTCCTTTTCTAGGATGGTGTAAAGACCTTTCTATAATTATGATGGTGTACATCTGCAGGACCAGAGAGGCCTCACCAGACCACCTCTTGGAATGTATGGGAGCCTAAGACAGGACCTGTATTCCAACCCTGCCAGGATTGTGAATTTGATCAATAAATATAGCTTCCATGACCTTTATACATTTTAAAAAATTATTTTGTGTTGATAAAATCTTTAAATTACCAATAACTGATATTCAAATTCAAGGTAGTAAGACCAAATCCAAATAAATAAATGGTCTTATTACCTTGTGTTTTTTTAATCTATAATCCAAATTGTGTCTAATATTTAAATTTTAAATTACCAAAACATATATATTACTTTAATATGTTAAATTACCAAAAACTTCTATGTTGCTGTATAATACATATGAAAAGTATTATTAAATTCTCTTGACATTTAAGGTTGATTAGAAAGCTTTACAATTTTTGCATTAAATGTTTCACAGAACCAGCCAACTTTAATAAAACAAAAAAAATGGAAAAATTGATGCCTTTCTGTTATCAAATTCAAGGCTTTCATAGAACTAGATAAGTTATATAAACATTGGTACACCTATCCCCCGATTTACACGGTAGATACGTTCCTGAGAAAAACGTGTAAATCGAAAATTAAAAATTTTCACAAAATTTTTATGCGAAGAAATACAGACACAGTGTGCGTGTGCAGCAAGTCAGCACATAAGCTCGGGATTCCTCGTGAGATGTGTACACAGCGCATGTGTTCAATCACAGTAGCATTTAGTATAGTGCGATAAAAACAAAAAAAAAAACTTATTTGGAAAACTGTGTAAAAGCGAAAACGTGTAAAACAAGTACCGTGTAAATCGGGGGATAGGTGTATTTTTATTTTTGAAAGTACAAAAGTGAAACTTTACTGGGATAAGTGTGTATAAATTAAGGCATCTCCTGATAGTGAAAAAATAAAAGTTACTGATGGCATGCATCATATATTAGAATAAATATTGGTCATATACCCTCTATTTATAAATAAATATATTCCAGCCATCTATTTTGTTTCTATCTTTGTGTTTGCGCTTGACAGCTGAAAAATCAAGGACAGGTATTTTAGGCTTAAGTGTGTGAGAACACAAATGATTGATTTGACTTTAGTGTTTCAGGAAGGCTTTATTAACTACATTTTTTGTAATTAGGGAACAGCTTACACCATGCTGATCAACAGCCTGAAATGCATATTTGGTTGACCTTTCATTTTTATAATATCAGTATAATTTTTCTATGGTAGAAATCAAGACCAGATCAATTTTAGCCAATTCATGCCTTAAAAAATTGAATTTTATTGTTTTTCTTTGTGAAAGGGTTTCTAAATCAAATATTCATACATCAAATGTTTTCGTATGGTAAAATTATTTTGTATAGGGATTTAAAAATAGAGCAATATATATAAAAGACATGTAGTTAAATAATTAAGATGCCACAAAATGGAAGGCTTCATTTTCATTTCTTTATTGGTTTGATTCAGAAAAAAAATCTATAAAGTTGCCACAAAACTATTTCATTGTTTATTTGAATAAAAGGTCTTTACATATAACATGTAAAAATGCTAATTAAAAATATTTACAAGCTATGAGATAAGGTGCTTATGAAGTATATTATTTTTTCATCATCAGACTGAATTATTTTTGGAGGAAAAAGAAATATATTCTGAAATCTCCTTGTTTGCAACAACTACTTACATTTGGTGCTTGTTCACATTAACTCAAACGTAAGGTCCATATTAACTCGCACAAAGGCTTTAAATATCAAATTCAGAATTATTGATGATATTCTTTGCAAATTATTTTCCCAGAGATTTCACAAATTTAAATAAAGATATATTTACAAGGTGTCCAAAAATTCACGAAAAAGTAATTTTGAGATAAAAGTTCAGGTTCATAAATAAAATTAAAATTTTTTTTATCTATATTTATAAATTTATATGCATAGTTATGACTGTTATGAATAAATTTGTCTGAAACTGAAAAAGTCATTTCGTATGTGTAGCTTGTTTGAATTTTTAAGTCAATTCCATAGATCATCTTTGATATTTTTATTTAGGGTTAAAATATTGCTAGCTTTATTTTTAATTATTCATTTGGAAAGACTGTTTGGGAATATACAGAAATAAAACGAGTATAATCAATTGCTTTATGGGAGAAAAAATCAGATATATTTGCTTTTTATATATTGGTTTTGCTGATATGGCGAATATCTCATTATATCTTTGAGGGCCAGGATAATTGCAAAAAAAAAAAGATATGTTCTTTTCAAAAATAAATGACAGCCAACTTACTTCAGTGCAAATTATTTTAACCAGCACCATATCGAGTCGAATGGTTGATCTGTTCTTGTAAAATTTTTACAAAGCAGTAAGCAGAACAAAACTTAAGATTCATCACTTTCTCCTCCACTGCATAATGGTGATTGATCATCGTGAGGATATTGTTACAAGCCGACAATGAGAGAGAAGAATCTGTATTACACTGGCATCTTAACCCTTTGCGGACTTATGGCTGATACGTGAGAACCTTCAGCAAGACTAGGCTTAAATTGGCAACCTGCCAAGTTTTATATACAGTATGCTTAAAACTTAAATTAAGACACAAAACATAATATTTAGTGAACAAATTTTTTCAAAATATAAAAAATAAGACTATTCTACATATATATGTAAGGAGAAAATTTAAAAAAATTAAAAAGATTTATAAACAACCTTGGTATGGTATGCCTCAAAACAATCTCCAATGCACAAACCAGGTTTTTTGTGCAGGTTTTGCAAAAAAACACAGTTTCTTTTCTTCCTCCTTTTACCTTTCTATTGGAGCATACACTACAGTCTTTTGTTTACCCTTCTGGATTTCGGACCATTACATGTAATTTATTGGTCAAGCGTTCTTCTGTATGGAGACTTGATTGGTGAACTCTTTTCCTTGACTCTTGTGGCACTCGGACATTTTTTTTATCAATTCCATATAATTATTTCTTTCCTAAATTCTAAGTGATTTTAATATTTTATGTTATGTTTGATGTTATTTTCTTTATATAAAATATATGAATTTATAATGGATACTTCAAGACCCCAAAAAAAATAATTTTCTCCACCACTTCAAAGATTTTCTTAGAAAAGAATAGGTGGAATTGGTCAGCAATATCAACGCCTCCCATCTTTTGAGTGTAATCAGAAACAACTATAGTTTTTTTTATAATAATAATAATATTAATATAATATATAATAAATAATATAATAATAATAATAATAACAATAATAGTGGATTCACTAAAGGACGCCATTTTTCAAAAGTAAATAAAAATATATTAAAAAATTGAGCAGATGCCAAATTAGTTAAAATTTTTATTCATAGATGGCGCGAGATGTCCATAAAACATTTGTCTAGAGTAAGTCGACACTGGAGTTAATATAGGGGGGCTCAGTTTCCATGTCGACCCTAGGTCGACACAAGACCTGTTGGATCATTTTACCTTGTCGACCTGAGGTCGACACAGGTCCGCAAAGGGTTAATAAAGGCTTTGCATGTGTCGAAAATGTTAATTATTGAAAAAAAAACCTTTTTTTTTGCTTATCCCTAGTACACGTGGTACAGGCCATGATAATCATGGTGAGTAGTTAGCGACTGTTTTACTGTATACTGTAAGCGCACCACATGTGAAAAGCAGTTTGACTTTGCACTTACAAATGTGCCAGAGCCCCGTTTGGTTACTTGCACTCGCTGGTGGGGTTGGACTTTTGCAAAAATCGGGGGCCATTGGAGCATTTTTTTAAACAGAAAAGTGTCCAATGCGGGAATCGAACCCGGGTCGTAGTGGTCGAAAACCAAACGGTTTAACCAGCCTTCTACCGACTCCCCCAAAAAAAACATTATCAAGGAATGTATTAAAAAGGTAATATTGGGTAAATTATAATAATAATAGTTTGAATCAAAAGGGGATCCATTAATTAAGATTATATAAAAGGGCGTACCTGGATCTGTAAAGAAAAAAAAATTTTTTTTCTTAAAATATTTCGAGAGATTGCTCCCTCTTTATCAATTTATTGCACAGTGTAATAATAGTTACAGAAAATGCAATTTCAATTAAAATAGATTTTGTGTTGGAAAACCTGTTCTAAAAAAAGTTAAAATTCATTATTTTAGATTCACAAATTTAGTATTCATATTTAATCTCTATTGTAAATGGAAGCAAATATCTTAATTTATATTCTCTATAGGGAATAAATGCTTTGTACTAAAATGAAAAGTTGTTAAAAGAAACTTCAAGGGTGAAGACAAAAGAAAACCAGAATGACTTTTTCATAATTTCACAACTTCATATTTTTACATTAAGAGAAATTTATACCCATATATTTAAATTGTTTTCTGTGGGATATATGAGGATATTTTTACTTAGTGAATCTTTGCAAGTTTTACAGATGTTTTACAGTGTTTTAGTAAATGTCTTTTTAAATAGAATTTATTTACAGTTCCATAGTCACAATAGTCGCATTTAAATGGTTTTTCACCTTTATGCTTGAATAAATGCTGCTTAAGGTATTCCTTTCTATTGGCTCTATAATCACAATATTCACATTTGAGGGGCTTCTCACCTGTGTGTATGAATACATGCTTTTTGAGGGCAGAATTTCGACTAGTCCTATAATCACAATATTCACATTTAAAAGGCATTTCACCTGTGTGTTTGAATAAGTGTTTTTTAAGGTATTCATTTCTACTTGTTTTATAGTCACAATATTCACATTGTAAATTCTTTACACCTGTATGTGTTAACAAGTGTTGATTAAGCCAATAGTTTTTTGATGTCCTATAATCGCAATATTCACATTTAAAGGGCTTTTCACCTGTGTGTGTTGAGTGATGTTGATTAAGAGTCGACATTTCTCTTGTTTCATATGTACAATATTCACATTTATACGGCTTTTCACCTGTGTGTATTAGGTGATGTCGATTAAGCGTAGACTTTTCTCTTGTTTCAAAATCACAATATTTACATTTGAAAGGCTTTTCACCTGTGTGTTTTAATAGATGTTGCTTGAGGTAAATATTTCTAGTTGTTCGATAGTCACAGTTTTTACATTTGAAGGGCTTTTCACCTGTGTGTGTTAGCAAGTGTTGATTTAGATGGTATTTTTTTGAAGTTTTATATTTGCAATAATCACATTTAAAAGGCATTTCACCTGTATGTATTGGTAAGTGTTGATTAAGAAGGTAGTTATGTGTTGTCTCATAATTACAAAATTGACATTTAAAAGGTTTTTCACCAGTGTGTGTTAAGCAATGTCGATTAAGAGAAGACATATCTCTTGTCTCAAAATTGCAACATTTACATTTAAAGGGCTTTTCTTCAGTATGGGTCAACAAATGTCTATCAAGATGACCTTTTCTCTTGGTTCTATAGCCACAAAAGTTACACTTATAGAACTCTTTGTCATTGCATGCAAATGAATGTTTTTCAACCTTACATTCACTATTTAAATTTTCATTAGAAAGGGGTTCATGTTTCAAAATAAACTTATCTGAATGTGAAAGCATATGATCTTCAAATTCTTTTTTACTAGTTGCTTTGAATTGGCAATACTGACACAAAATTTTCTTTTCAAAAGTATCTGATTTGACATCACATATATTGGATTCACAATCAGATTGGTCATTGTGCAAATTGATAAGATTGCTGTCATCCCCTAATGGGATGTTTTCAAGTTTTGTTTGAGAAGAATCAAGTTCCGTACAAATCTTTTCTTTTAAAGACATAACAATATCTTTGTGACAACTTTTGATATTGAGAGAGGAATTTTCAAGTTTTAAATTATTTCTGAATTTTCTTTTTTCACCAACAATATTTGGTATCAAATACAAAATTTTCAGGATTAATTAATTACCTTAGAAGCATAGTGTCCTCTTTCACCCTGCACAAAAATAAGTTTACCATAAAAATATTTTTAAGATATCTTAAATATACAATATATAATCTCTCTTGAGCGACCACCTTTGTCAAATTAAATAATATGTATATATAAGGACTACTGACTGGACCCAGATACCCATGTTTCAAATGCAGAGGGCCTACTAACAGTGAGAGCCTATGGACATGACACTTGATATGATCTAGGTGATTCACATTCAACATGATCAAGAAGAATAACACTCAGCATAAACAAGAAAAATAGCATCAAGTGTCAAATAGATTTGAGCATGATCCATAAGAATGAAATCTGCAAGATCAATGGCAATTTGAAAAATAATTAATGAATGAGAGAATTGTTAAAATGCTAGATTGAATTCCCAAAAAAAGAGGATTCAAAGATGACAACCATTCAAGCCATTTAGAGCCTTGGCTGTTTGTGAAAGAAAATCAAAGGCTTTTCACCATGTGCTATTAAGAAAAATTAATCCTGTGATCTGATTCCTTGAAGGTGTGGAAAAGGCCCAAAGATCATTCATCAATGTCAGAATTGTGATTAAAATGGTAGAATAAAGAAAAAAGGCATCTCCTGATTGTGCAACTAGAAGTTGCTGAATGCGCCACTTTTTGGAATAAATATCAAATAATCGTTGATTTTCAATTATTCCAAAATTGGCCAAAAACCCTTTCTTGATTAATCAATCATTCTTTTTTCTTTAACACCTGATCCCAGTACAATTTCACTTTTGTACTATTTATTATATCGGTAGGTATCTAACCTTTTTTTTTTTTTTTACTTTCTTTTGTTTTAGAAAATCTTTAATTTGGTATAGTTGCTTATATGAAATTTATTTTCATTGTATGTGTTATTAAGTGATCATCAGTCACTTATCTTAGGCCGATGTCCTTTATATATTTATAATGGACTAAACTATGGTGTAGGTCTTTTATTATTCAAACAATTTTTACAATTTTTCATCTTATAAAAGTTGCTTATAAAATTAGTAATAAATAGCAAATTTGAAAAGTAAGAAATTAAGTTTTTTTACAGTATGCCTCTTTAATTCAATAAACTGGTATTCAACACTTACTATAATTAAATATTTTTTTCAAATCACAATTCAACCATGAAATTGGAAGCATCTATTCCTATGGGTGTTGATTTAGAGTGGTAGTGAGTGGTTGTGTGTGTTGAGTGGTAGAGTGGTTTAGTACGTGGTACAAGTTATGATAATCAGGGGGTAGAGGTAGGCGACTGCTTTTACTGTAAGTGCATCACACATCTACACATGTGAAAAGAAGTTCAACTTTGCATAAGTGCCCAATGTGAGAATCGAACCCTTGTTGTAGCAGTCGAAAACCAACGGTTTAGACAATCCTTCCACCAACCCCCCCCCCCCCCCCCCACATATGGTTTGATTGTAATATGAAAAATTAAAAATTTATTTTATTTATTTTTAATGAAATTTATACAAGAAAAACACTTTTGACAACTTTTACCTTTTTCATTAATTAATGTAATTGCTTTTTTTTTTGTATTATTTATAATTTAGCCTTAAGTTTATTCAAATTAAAATTATATTTTGTAATTATCAAGTATTATCAATTCTTAATTATCAAGGTAAATATACCATATCCCTATGTAAAAATATTTATTAGAAAATAGGTGAGTAAAAAGTAATTCTCTCTCTCTTTGCAAGGTTAAAAATAAAATAAAGTAAAAACAACAAATAATTGTTTTGTGTCAACACTTGTGGTGAAAAATGAATATTTTGTTTACAAATGGCCGCAACTCGATCTACCAACCTGCCTAAAATTAATAAGTCCAATTAAAAAAAAAAGGAATCTAATAGTAACGTAAAACTAATAAATTTTTAAAATGATATTCATATTTAAAGAATAAACACCATAGTCTCACCTTTGAAGAGAGTGCTTATAACTTAAGACTAAATATTTAATTTTTAAGAGAGAGGGAATAAAAATCGATTACTTATTTTCGTATATATGATATAATACTGATATGATTTAATACTATTTAGGTAAAAATACGAAGAAAATATATGCTCCAAATAGAGCAGAATTTTTTTTAAAACGCAAATAAAAATTTTATAAACACTAAAATGTTAAATAAAACGCTAAACCTAAAAATGATAGGCCAGAGTGGCTGAACGAATTATGTGAGGGAATCAGTAGGACAAGATTTATAAAAATTATTCTATATATTATATATAAAAATTATGCATAAAATTGTCCATTGGCATCTCTAAAATGAAATTCCACTTTAATAAATTCAATAGAGAATTTGTACAAAAAATAAGGGGTGCATATATTCAAGGTAAAAATCTACGCTGCTATCTATTTATATTTTTCGGTACAGATTTTCATTCAAGTTATTCTTTATTACAAAAACACCCAAGGTTCATGTCAAATGGTGAAAAAATGAAAGAAAACCAAACAAAAAAAAAACGCACAAGCCATAGTGTTCTCTATGAGAGATATTAAAGACATTTCAGGCCATAAAACAAAACTGAAAGTAAACTTTATCCTCAATAACTTGACAATTCTCGCGAAATATTTTTACGATACCTTGAATTTCAGGTAATTATTTAACATGCATGTGAAAAATACTATAAGGAAATAAATTATCGCAAAACACTATAAAGCCCTGACTATAAAATTGATTTATCAACTAAACAAAAATTTACCTTTTCAGAAGTTGTTTCTTACCAAAATGTGTTAGAAATATTTCATTTCAAAGCAAATATATTAACCCTTAGTCAAATATAATAAATGCATTTATATTCAATAATAAGAGCGTCATTGTATCTCAAAAGACACCCAAAGAAAATAAAACAACTAAAAAACGACCTAAAAAAATATACCAAAATTCTCTCTCTCAATTAGGAAATATTCTTTCACTCTCAACTTAAAAATCGATTTAATTTAACTATCAAAAAAAAATT